CAGAAGGAAGCCAGATATCCAGATTTTTGTGCAATATAGTCTCATGAATACACGTTGGCAAGTAATTCGGGTTTTTTTTTTAAACCTCACGCGGGCCAAACAAAACACATCTGCTGGCCGGATCCAGCCTGTGGGTGGGCCCCCAATTTGCGAACTCTGGTCTAGACTGAGGAATTCCAGCGCGGGGACCTGTACTGACACCTCCAACCCCACCCCTACCCCAGCCCTTGGCCCGGTGGAGGGACACGATCTGTCTTGGGGCAGTGGTTCTCAGCCCTGGCTGCACGTTAAAATCACCTGGGGGAAAGAAAATATATATATATATATTTTTTTTTTTTTTGAGACAGAGTCTCACTCTGTTGCCCAGGCTAGAGTGAGTGCCGTGGCGTCAGCCTAGCTCACAGCAACCTCCAACTCCTGAGCTCAAGCGATCCTCCTGCCTCAGCTCCCGAGTAGCTGGGCTAAGGCATGCGCCACCATGCCCAGCTAATTTTTTCTATATATTTTTTGTTGACCAATTAATTTCTTTGTATTTTGGTTTTTTTGTTTGTTTGCTTCTTTTGTGAGACAGACTCTCACCCTGTTGCCCAGGCTAGAGTGAGTGCCGTGGCGTCAGCCTAGCTCACAGCAACCTCAGACTCCTGGGCTCAAGCGATCCTCCTGCCTCAGCCTCCCGAGTAGCTGGGACTACGGGCATGCGCCACCACGCCTGGCTAATTTTTCTTATAATTTTTTGTGGCCAATTAATCTTTGTATTTTGTTTTTGTTTTTTATTTTTGAGACAGAGTCTCACTTTGTTGCCCAGGCTAGAGTGAGTGCCGTGGCGTCAGCCTCGCTCACAGCAACCTCAAACTCCTGGGCTCAAGCGATCCTCCTGCCTCAGCCTCCCCAGTAGCTGGGACTACAGGCGCGCGCCAGCATGCCCAGCTAATTTATTCTATATATTTTTAGTTGGCCAATTCATTTCTTTCTATTTTTTAGTAGAGAGGGGGTCTTGCTCCTGCTCAGGCTGGTTTTGAACTCCTGACCTGGAGCGATCCTCCTGCCTCGGCCTCCCAGAGTGCTGATGAATTATTTTTAATCTTTGATTCTTAGCCAAGTGTTTGGTCCACGGTGGGCTATAAATACCTGTTGAAGGAATGGAGGGGGGGAGAGAGAAAGAGTCAATGGGTGTCTTTATTGCTTTTCAACCTTTTGAGACAATTCTTACTCTTCTCACCACCCCCCTCCCTGTGAGCAAATGGGGGGTCTATATGGGAACCGGGTCTGCTAAGCTTTGTTTTGTCTTAGCTGCTGTGCTTTCCAGCAAGTTCACGAGTTGCCAGGGTGGTTTTGTACAAAGGCTTCACTCACATATATTAATTGGCCCTTAACGCACAGGAAGACACCAGTGAGGTTTTATAGTGTGTGGAGGTTTTTTTGAACCAGGAACCAGATTCCTAATTTTCCCTGCACCCACTATTTTCTCTTTGAAGTCCACAGGAGCCCTGCTCAGGGTGTCTACAGAGCAACAAGGATCTGGTCTGACAGAATTGTTAGGAAAATGTATTAAAGCGCTAACCGTAAGATTAAGTTACCCAGAGAAAACACGTTTTGGCCAGCAGGAACTGCAATCAGCACCATCTGAAGGAGGTCCTGGAGTCAGAGAAAAGAAGAAAATGTATTTTAAAAATTCAAGGAACACATGCAGTTGCCTCAGAGGATGGAAGGACTCATTGTCCTTTACACGTTGAAAATATGAATTGCCAATTAACGATGCTATTGGCAAATTGCTCTACAATTAAAAACATAGAAGTGTTGTTGGAGGCAATTAGAATAATTGTCATATGTTAATTACAGGTTGATGGATTTTGCGTGCTGCCAGCAATTACCTTTTGAGCCTGAGCTTTTCTGAACAGAATCCAAATCCATAAAGACATTGATATAATAAGAACTATCTTCTTTGCTGGCGTGCCTGCCATATTTTCAATGTCTTTTAAGGTATGTAATTATTTTTAATTAGGTTCCAGAAGAAAAATTTTTTTAATATGTGTTTTACTGGGTCAGCATTAAAGAACCTCGTAACCAATATGAAAGGAGAGGGAAATAGAAGGAGTACAGGCTTGGTGGAGTCAGGCAGACTCGGTTTAGATATTTGCTAGCTGGGTACCTTGGCGAATTGTTCAGCCTTTCTGAAGCTCACAGTAAAATGAGGAAAATGGATACCTTACGAAGTCACTAGAAGGATTGTATGAGATAATGTTTATATATCCACAAACATTGTGCGTGATGCATAGTAGGTGCTCAATAAAACAGTTATTGTTTTTCTAGAAAGAGTGGAGCTATCCACTCAGGCTGGGGTGGGTCTCCTCTATTATTATAATAAAATCCTTGCAGTTACTATTCTTGCACTAGGGCTGTCATATGTGGCTATCTAGATCATGCCCCGCACAGCTTCTAGGGTAATCATTGACCTTGGAATTCATGTGAGTAGTGCCCCTGGGCTTGTACAGTGAACAACCCTCACAACTGCACATAGCCGCCCTGCTTGCAACCAGAATCCTAAATTTAAATCCTTTTGATCCTTGGTCCTCAGATGGAGCATGTCCAGTGTTTGTTCATTGGACCTTCTCCCAGCTGCATTTTTTAGCAGTATTGGTAAGGAGTGAGCAGATTTCCACCTGCAGGCCTAATGCAGCTTGTTTGGTAAATAAAGTTTTATTGGAATGCAATTACACTTATTCATATACATGTTACCTGTGGCTGCTTTTGAGCTACAATGGCAGAGTAGAAAACTGCTGACCTTTGACCAACATGGATTTGAATTGCACAGGTCCACTTATCTGTGGATTTTCTTCTGCCTCTGCCACCCCTGAGATAGCAGGACCAACCCTTCCCCCTCCCCCTCCCCCTCCCCCTCCTCCTCCTCTCCTCCTCCTCGGCCTGTTCAACACCAATGCGAGGAGGATGAAGACTTTTATTGCTGATCCACTTCCATATAATGAATAGTAAATATATTTTCTCTTCCTTATGATTTTCTTAATAACATTTTCTTTTCTCCAGCTTTCTTTATTGCAAGAATACAGTATATAATACATATAACCTCAAAAAGATGTGTTCATAAAATATGTTATCAGTAAGGTTTCTGGCCAACAGTAGGCTATAATTAGTTAAGTTCTGGGGGGAGTAAAACATTGCACGTGGATTTTCGACTCCACAGGGGGCTAGTCCCCTCTCACCCCCAGGCTGTCCAAGGTTCAGCTGTAGTTGCGACAAAGACCCTATGAGCCACAAAGCCCCAAACATTTACTATCTAGCCCTTAACAGAGTCAAACTGGTATTGATGACCTTTTAGCCATTATGTGCTTATCTTAATTCCAGGGAAAGCCGATGGCTGATAGCTATTCTTTTCTCTCATAACTTTCATTTGAGTGGGCCAGGAGGTTGAGTAGACATGTTCCTTTTTCTTTTCTTTTCTTTTGAGACAGAGTCTCACTCTGTTGCCCAGGCTAGAGTGCTGTGGCATCAACCTCGCTCACAGCAACCTCAAACTCCTGGGCTAAAACGATCCTCCTGCCTCAGCCTCCCGAATAGCTGGGACTACAGGCACGCGCCACCATGCCCAGCTAATTTTTTCTATATATTTTTAGCTGTCTGGTTAATTTATTTCTATTTGTAGTAGAGACGGGGTTTCACTCTTGCTCAGGCTGGTCTCGAACTCCTGACCTCTAGCAATCCTCCCGCCTCGGCCTCCCAGAGTGCCGGGATGACAGGCGTGAGCCACCGCGCCTGGCGGATTTTTCTTGATCCACATTGCCACTCCCAGACTATTCCCCTTCTTTTCTCCCCCAAATCCGTATAGCCTTGCATCTTATGAGTTCAGGTTCTCGCATCTACACCTCCCCCCCATCCCTCTGTCATTTACTGATGACAGTCACTTACTATCATTTACTGATCCCTGAAGGTTTTAACTCCTGGTCCACTGTCACTTTCACAATCATTTTCCCATAATAATTCTTGGTAATTTTCATAACCATGCAAATGATCTTTCTACAGTCCTGGCCTCTCCGATCTTGAAATCAGATCATCTCTAGGGATTTTTTTTTTGAGACAGAGTCTCACTCTGTTGCCCAGGCTAGAGTGAGTGCCGTGGCGTCAGCCTCGCTCACAGCAACCTCAAACTCCTGGGCTCAAGCGATCCTCCTGCCTCAGCCTCCCAAGTAGCTGGGACTACAGGCATGCGCCACCATGCCCGGCTAATTTTTTCTAGATATATATTAGTTGGCCAATTAATTTCTTTCTATTTATAGTAGAGACAGGGTCTCGCTCTTGCTCAGGTTAGTTTCGAACTCCTGAACTCAAACGATCCGCCCGTCTCGGCCTCCCAGAGTGCTAGGATTACAGGCGTGAGTCACCGCACCCAGCCTGTGCAAGTCTGTTGGCACCATTTTTCCAACAGCATGTGCTACTTTGTGTCTCTGAGTCATATTTGTGTAATTCGCACACTATTTAAAACTGGGTCATTATTATTATGTCTGTTATGGTGATCTGTGATCAATGATCTTGGATGTTACTATTGTGATTGTTTTGGGGCCACACCAACTGTGCCCATAGAAGACAGCAAACTGAGTAGACGTTGGGTGTGTTCTGACTGCCCCACCAACTGGCCATTGTGCCATCTGTCTCCCTCTTCTTGGGGCTCCCTATTCCCTGAGACACAGCAGTATTGAAATTACACCAATTCAATAGCTCTCTAATGGCCTCTAAGTGTTCAAGTGAAAGCAAGAGACACGAGTCTCTCACTTTAAATCAAAAGCTAGAAATGAGTAAGCATGGGCTGGGCACTGTGGCTCACGCCTGTAATCCTAGCACCCTGGGAGGCCGAGGCGGGTGGATCACTCACGGTCAAGAGTTCGAGACCAGCCTGAGCAACAGCGAGACCCCGTCTCTACTATAAATAGAAAGAAATTAATTGGCCAACTAAAAATATATGTAGAAAAATTAGCCTGGCATGGTGGCACATGCCTGTAGTCCCAGCGACTGGGGAGGCTGAGGCAGGAGGACCGCTTGAGCCCAGGAGTTTGAGGTTGCTGTGAGCTAGGCCAACGCCACGGCACTCTAGCCCAGGCAACAGAGTGAGACTGTCTCTCAAAAAAAGAGAAATTATTAAGCATAGTGAGGAAGACATATTGAAAGCTGAGACAGGCCAAAAGGTGCTAGGCTTCGTGCACCAGTTATCCAAGTTGTGACTGTAGGAAAAAAAATTCTTGAAGGTGATTAAAAGTTCTACCCCACCCTGGCCGGGCGCGGTGGCTCACGCCTGTAATCCTAGCACTCTGGGAAGCCGAGGCAGGAGGATCATTCAAGGTCAGAAATTTGAAACCAGCCTGAGCAAGAGCAAGACCCCGTCTCTACCATAAATAGAAAGAAATTAATTGGCCAACTAAAAATATATAGAAAAAATGAGCCGGGCATGGTGGTGCATGCCTGTAGTCCCAGCTACTCGGGAGGCTGAGGCAGGAGGATCGCTTGAGCTCAGGAGTTTGAGGTTGCAGTGAGCTAGGCTGATGCCATGGCACTCTAGCCCGGGCAACACGGTGAGACTATGTCTCAAAATAAAAAGAAAAAAAGTTCTGCCCCAGTGAACACAGGAATGATAAGAAAGTGAAACAGCCTTATTATTGACATGGAGAAAATCTGAATGGTCTGGATAGAAGACCAAGTCAGCCATAACAGTCCCTTCAGCCAAAGTCTAATCCAGACCAAGGTTCTTTCTGCAATTCTGTGAAGGCTGAGAGAGAGGTGAGGAAGCTTCAGAAGAAAGGCAAGAGGCTAGCAGAGGCTGGTTCATGAGGTTTCAGGAAAGAAGCCATCTCCATAACTTAGAAATTGCAAGGTGAAGCAGCAAGGGCTGATGTAGACATCTCAGCAAGTCAACCAGGAGATCTCGCTAAGATAACTGATGAAAGTGAAAATAACTAAAGAAAAGATTTTTCAGTGTAGACAAAACTGCCTTCTGTTGGAAGAAGAAGCCATCTAGGCCTTGCCTAGCTAGAGAGGAGAAGTCAGTGCCTGGCTTCAAAACTTCAAAGGACAGGCTGACTCTTGATAGGGCTTAATGCAGCTGATAACTTTGAGTTGAAGCCAATGTTCGCTGGCCATTCTGAAAATCTTAGGAGTGTTAGGAATTATGCTAAATTAACTCTGTGTGTTATAAATGGAGCAATAAAGCCTGCGTGACTGCACATCTGTTTACAGAATGGGTTACTCAATATTTTAAGCCCACTGTTGGACCTATTGTTCAGAGAAAAAGATTCCTTTCAAAATATTACTGGCCTGTTGACAACGTATCTGGTCACCCAAGAGCTCCGATGGAGAATGGACAAGGAGATGAACGTTGTTGTCACGCCTGTCAACACAGTCCTCATTCTGCAGCCCATGGATCAAAGAATGATATTGACTCTCAAGTCTTAGTATTTAAGAAACACATTTGATAAGGCTATAGCTGCCATAAACAGCGATTCTTCCGGTGGATCCCGGGAAAGTAAAATGAAAACCTTCTAGAAACGATGCACCCTTTACATTAATAGATGCCATTAAGAACATACGTGAATCATGGGAGGAGGCAAAAATATCAATACCAACAAGAGTCTGAAAGAACTTGATTCCAACGCTCTTAGATGACTTTGAAGGGTTCGAGACTTCAATGGAGGGGGTCACTTTGCAGTCATTTCTGCAGATGTGGCAGAAACAGCCGGAGAACTAGAGTCAGAAGTGGAGCCTGAAGGTGTGTCTGACTGCTGCGATCTCAGGATCAAACTCGAATGGACAAGGAGCTGCTGCTTCTCATGGCTGAGCAAAGAAAGTGGTTTCTTGGGATGGAACCCTACCGCTGGTGACGGTGCTGTGAACATCGTTGAAATGGTAACACAGAATTTAGGAAATTCCATAAACATAGCGAAGCAACGGCAGGGTTGAGAGGGTCGACCCCGATTTCAAAA